TCTGTATGTGGGCTTTAAAAAAAATGTGTAGACTGAAAGAAAGAAGTGGAACTTGTGGTGAAACCTTTGTAATTTACATAAACCCCCTTAAGTTTTCTAATTTGGATTTCAGTTGGGTGTTTTTGAGACAAGGTTTCCATTAGTGGCTGTGTGTGGTCTTCAACAGACAGAGTAGCAAGGAAATGTCTCCCTGCTCTTTCCTCACTGGGTCTCATTGGAAGTGATTTCCTAGGAGACAGCAGGGTGTCTCTAGGTTCCTTTGTGTCCACATGGACACAGAGTGTCAGCACAGTGTGCTTAGTGATATGAGAGGGGCTGGGAGAAGGGACTTGTGAGCCCAGAGACTGCTCAGGGAGTAGGCTCGATGACTGCCCGCCCCCACCCCACCCCTGCCCCCTTGCAGGAAGAGCTGCCCTGAGGCTGTGTTGTCTGGAGTTTGGATGCCAGTCTGTCATAGGCCACCTGTCTGGACTTTGACTTTGTTGCTGACCCCTTTTCTCAGTGTGTGACATTCTGAAAGGGTTTTCTCTCTTCTTTCACTTCTTAGATTTTGAATCTCCTGCTGCAGTTGGCATAGTGAGTTTTGTGTTGGGTTGCTAACAGAAAGGCCAGCAGTTTGAAACCCGCAGGTTCGTCACAGGAGAAAGGAGGCTTTATTCCCACAAGCAGTTATAGTCTCGGAAACCCACAAGGGCCATTCTGTTCTGCCCTGTAAGGTTGCTGTGAGTTGGCATTGATTCAGTGGCAGTGAGTTGAGTCGAGTGGAAAGCCTTTCTGAGTTTGTCACTCACCATCCTGTGGATGATGGGGTTATTTCCCTGATCGTTGGGTAGCAATGGTCTTGGGAGTAGAGAGCAGTTTGTCTAAGTAGATACTTTATAGCGAGTAGCTTCAAGAACAGGAAGGAAGCAGTTGCCCTCAAGTTACATTGCACGCTTAGGCTTCAATTTGACTTCACTGATCTTGGTGCAAAAGTATTATCTGGTTGGACAAAGAACAGATGATTGCTTACAGCAACCTTACAGAAATACCTGACCCAATCAGAACCCCCATAATGGGGAAGCAGAGACCTAACTAGAACCTCATGCAGCCTGGTCCCTGGCCCCCTGGCACCTGCCACAGGTCACTGTCTGCTTTGTTATTCTTTGCTTGGTGGTTACCAACGCAGCCATCTGAGCCAACCCCTGAGTTTCTCTGAGTAGCTCTGGAGCTGTCTCCCAGAAGGAGAGTGACAGACACATTTTACCTCCTTGGCCTTCGTGCCCATATGTGTCTCTAGGAAGATGGCTGACCCTTCTCCAAGTTGCCACGCTGCATACTTGTTGTGGGGAATGTGAGAGGAAATGAGGGCAGTGGCCACTGCAGAGACACCCAAGACATGGCACCTTCTTAGAGAGCAAAGACTCCACCTTCCACAGCATCTCTTATTGGCAGCAGACCACCCACAGATTCCAAAAGAGTGGCCTTTAGCCTTAGCCTCTTCCTAGTTTGGATTAAAAGCCCAGTAGCTTACATTCAGTGTTCTTGGCGCTGCATACACACATAGGGGAATGCAGATCGACAGACACAGAATAATATGTGCAGAAGAGAGGGATTTCTTAGCCCCACCCTGAGGCATTGGGCAATGGGCCCTCTTGATTGGAAGGGGGAGTGGGATTGGCTGTGGGGTTGGTGAGAAGGCCATGGGGGTGCTCTTTTACTTTCATGGTAACTCAGCGTTTTCCTCTTTGGACTTCAGCTGAGGAACTTGGCAGCAGTCGTGGGGTGGTTTTTCTTCTACACTTGAACCCTATAGGCTATTGGTTAGTGTTTTGTATGCAAAGAGGCTCAGTATAGACAATGCAAGCGTGCTTTCCCACATGGCTTTTGTCTTTAGCCCAAAGGTTAAGAGTAATTAAGGAGCCAAGGACAAACTGAGTTTCATTCCTGTTTCTGAGGTAAGTGGAGCCAAGTCGTTAGGTGCTGGAAAGGTGTGGTCATCTCATTCTAAATAAGCCAGCCATTGGCACTCCGGTGGAGCCCAGCTCCGCGCTACCACCCGGGTGGGGCCCATGTGTCAGCGCCATCTCCAAGGCAGCTATTTTTGTTTTGGGTTTTTTTTTTTTGTAAAGTCAGACAAAACTTGGTTTTTAATCTAGGCACTTACTACTGACTGAGCAATTATAGAAAAATTATTTCCCCTTTCCGTGTCTCGGCTTAATCATCAGTATGTTAAAAGTAAGGTTTTTAAGATTGTTAAATGAAATACCATAGGTAAAACTGTCAGCTCCCAGCCAATGAGTTAGTTCCTAATTAAAAGCTAAACACACAGACTCACTGCCACTGATTCAGTTCTGACCCACAGAGATCCAGTCGGGCAGAGTGGACTGTGCTGTGGGTTTCTGAGACTCAGTCTCTCCGGGAGCAGACAGCCTCATCTTGCTCCTGTGGAGCGGCTGGGGGGTTCCAACTGCTGGCTCTGTGGTTAGCCATTCAACATGTCACCTCCTGTGCCACCAGGGCTCCTGGTCATTGCAATATGAACGATGGTCGTGGCGTGCACGGGGGTGAGGTATCTTGTTCAAACTGAGAATAAGCGATGTCTGCATGGAAAGGGAGACACCTAAAGATTTGAAGGAGCCACAAGGTGGGGAGTTTTCAGAGGAACCTGTATAATGTCTCATTTCTTCAGTCCCTGCTTTTCCCCAGGAAGTTGGTTTCTGTTGTGTTGCATCAGTGGGGCAGGATGTGGATTCCTAAAAGTGCATTGAGTGTATTGGGACCAGGAAGCTGTTGAGAAAACACACACACACACACACACACACACACACACACACACACTGGCACAAAACAACAAATGCTGGAGAGGTTATGGAAGGATTGGGATTCATATATACTGCTGGTGGACTTATAAATACATACAGACA